CAACTGGGTAGGACAATCAGAAGGCGTGTGATACGGATCGTATCCTCCCAATCGGGGGAGGTTGTTTCAATTTTTTTCTGCTATTGTTTTTGTTTCTGTTTTTTGCTTTTATTTGTGTTGTTTGATTTGTGTTCTATTTTTTGCTTAAGTCTCCCGCCTCACGTCACCAACGGCGTTTGTATTGCCTGCGGGCAATATCTCTCGGAAAGCGAAGACGACGGGGCACTATTTTCTTCTTTTCTTCTTTTTTTCTTGTCTTTTACTACTTTTTTCGTACACAGATCACCAGTAGTGACGTTTCGCTCAACTGGGTAGGACAATCAGAAGGCGTGTGATACGGATCGTATCCTCCCAATCAGGGGAAGTTGTTTCAAATCTTTTCTGCTATTGTTTTTGTTTTTGTTTTTTGTTTTTGTTTTTTGTTTTTGTTTTTGTTGTTTGATTTGAGTTCTATTTTTTGCTTAAGTCTCCCGCCTCACGTCACCAACGACGTTTGTATTGCCCGTGGGCAATATCTCTCAGAAAGTGACGATGACGGGGCACTATTTGAGCAAGTGGAATATCCCTCGGACTCCCATCATCGGATCAGCGCACAAGCTTTCCGCTCGACCGTAATTCAAGGTTGCGAGCCGAACGGGCAGGCATTCCAGTTGACAGAAGATCGGGCAGACGGTGTTTTGAGCCCTGTACCGGGACGTCGGTGCTTCGCGGTTGCCTTCGCCTTGATTACCAGGTGGATCAGGAATTGCTGGATCAAATGATCGATGACGAAGAAGGCAGGATATAAGCTTCCTTGCCCTCACCTCCAAAATTTCCTGGTTGTTTCGGTCACTTATGATGCACCACGCATGCGCTGCGGGGCTGCACGATCTTCCATTCTTTGCGCTGCTCTCGCATTGCACGCAGGGGGGTTGAGCTGTTGATGATGCTAGTCTTCTTTCCGTTTCAACTTCTGCGTTGGGCAGCTTGCAGGCTGGTCGAGCTAGGGACGATGGCGTTGAACAGAGAGGGGGCGGATGAAAAGATGGGGATAGCTATCGAGATGTCAGCCTACGTTTTGCTCGCTTTTGTTGCTTTGCTTGCTTTTCTTTCTTTTCTTGCCTTCTTACACCACTTGCAAGCTCTGCCGCCTCCATCGCCGCTCCGACTCCCGAAGCATTTGTGACCTTAAAGCAGGTGTTCCCTCTGATGAAGCCGTGTACTAGTGGCTAGCGGCAGAAAAGCGCTTCAGGGATCGCCACTACCCTCCCTGCTTTGGCTGTTGTGGCAGATTTCCCATATTACGTGGAACTGCCTCTAGGGATGCGGCGAGTTTTCTTCATATTCATATGTCATACAAGTCTGCGCGTCATGTTATCTATTGAGTGGAAGGAGAGGGGAACGGTGACGCTTCAGGTTTTGGGCCAGAAGAGAGTTCATTCTTTTACTGAAAAGAGGGCGTTGGACATGTAATCGACACGTATTTTTTCTAAAGTGTGATCACTCATATCTTGAATTGCGATCTTTGCTTGGATGATTGGTTAAGGATAGGCGTGATAAGTAATAATTACAATGCATGGTTTATATATATATATATATATATATATATATATATATATATATATATATATGTGTGTGTGTGTGTGTGTGTGTGTGTATTTTTTGGCGAACGAAATTGCCCCCAGACTCAGTATCTATCCACGAATCGACCGACAAGATCGGCAAAGAGATTGGATACTATGATGGATGGCGCCGAATGCTCTCGATCTCATATGTTAAAAACAGAAAACATCAGAATATTTGTCAAATCTCTGCCATGTGAATAAAGCCTGGACGGGGGGTATGTATGCAATTGTATCGCTTCGTATTTCATTAAGAACGCGTTCTCTTTTTGCTGATGTATGTCAATAAACCTGTGTGCATTAGCATATTTGTATGGACTCCACCAGGGCAAATCGCAAAGATTGTACATATGAATGTTTTCCACATTTTTTGATTAGAGGACAAATTCCGCTGACGGCCCTTGCTGGATCGTTGTTGATCTGCGGATGGGCTGGTGGGCGGTATCGCTCCTCTAACTCTGCCGCTACGACCACAATATCCTTTTCCCCGATCTCGCGGGAAATGGCTCATTATGCAAACCACCCATTAGAAAAATACGGCTATCCTTACCGATGGATTGGATGTTTAGGATGAATGAGTCCATGTGTCTTTGGGGATAAAATGAGAATGTTTAGAATGTTTTATTGCATGCGCTGAAGGGACAAATATTGTCCCCTCCGATCGGACTAATCTGCCCCAACGATGGTGCAAGCGGAGCTCGTCTGACTCAGGTCATATAGATGGCGTCACACGATTATCCCCGTAATATAAGTTTTTCCAAAGCACAGAAACGTACTTGCGCTACGTGCCTGTCGACGTGGCTTTTCACCATGGACGAACCAACGAAGCGCAAGCACCCTCACATATGAATATAAAATCCGCAGACGTAATGAATGATAAAACGACGATTGCAGAATGTTTTTCTAAACACAGATAGCTCGATGAAGTCCTACGCTCCTGCGCGGGTATCGATTATCATATTATGTACGCTCTTGTACTTGCTTTGAGGATGTATGCTCTCCTTCTTTTTGAGTTCCACTCGCCCTCCGAAGAAGACGTCTCTCTGGGCCATCGGATTGCGCATACATGGGGAAGAGTCCTAGTCATGGTTTTACACGCAGGAATCTCATGGGATGGGTTATGTGGCCTGAGAAGTCCTGTGCTCGCCTGATAAGGATAACAGGGGTGTGCCGATAAATTACTTCGGAGCTTGATTGCAATACGGTTTCCATATCTTGCATCGACATGCTTATCATGGACTACTCTAACACAAACACAGGGGGGCCCCCCTGTCAGCGCTGTTGGTGGTGTGTCCCGCCAACCATACCCCTGTGAGGCAGACGTGGTATTGCACAGGCATTCGCCAATCGAAACCCGGTTAGACAGGGAAATGCGATTGCATGAGATCACCTCGTCCACGTAATCTGCAAGGAAAAAGCTGGAGTAAGTCGATGTTCCGCCAACCTATCTCGTTCCAGTCGGTATATATTGTTGTGCGTGTGTACATGTTTGTGTTTGTTTGTCTTTGTTTTTTCTGCAGATTCCGCCGAAGGAGTTCTTCCCAGGAGGCTGGTGGGACGAACTCACTCGTAAGTACGAGTGGCTAAAGGAACAACCATGGCCCAGCAAACAGGTGCAAGCGCTCATCGCCACGCTGAAACCCGAGATTCTGGACGCGATGAAGAGAATGGTCGAGACGGGGGACTTTCCCAATTTTTTCTGCATGATTGGATTTAGTGATATTGCTAATCTTGCATGTGTTTGGGATCAAGGGAAAGATGCCTTTGTTGCCAAACTCCTAAATACTGCTGTGAGCTTAGAGAAGAAGAGGATGGATTATGAGAGAGAATGCATGGAACTGCCCGCCAGAACGGCAAAAGTAGAACAAACGTTTCTTAAGATTTGGGTACTGGATCACTCACATTTACAGGGGCAGGCCGCCGAAACGCCGGCGGTCGTCTGCACCATCGTCGGAGCTCTTGCCCTGGACGACGAGGAAATGGAAGAATTAAACGCAGCCATAGCCGCAGTAACCGCTACTGCCAGCTGTACCCCAGAGAAGGCCTCATCCTCCCAAGGTAGGCAATACACTGCGTTTGCACCACTTCCGTCCTTACACTGGGTTGAGCACACGGGCACTGGGTTCATGCATGGCATTGCATGCAGTCTGGAAGCTCGAGACTTTTAACCATCTTGCTCCGTTCTCGGTAAAAGCCCTCATTTTCCTCGCCAGCCTGACCGACGAGGAAGTTGCCACGTGTAAGGCAAACGCAATGACAGGCGCACTCCCATATTGCCCCCCAGGAAAAAAGACCTTTAATCCGACCCTCCTAACGTTTCCTCTACTGTCGACCCTCAACCACACGAAGTGTGAGTACACCAGCCCCGTAATGTGGCAGAAGAAGGTTAAAACCGCCCCTGAGATCGATCTGAAAGGACTCAGTAAAAGTTGGAATGTCGGGCGGCCATACCTCAGATGCAGGTGCGCTACGGCGAGGAAAAAGGACTGTGGGGCAGGACCAATTTGGATGGACCACGCGATTTGGTATATATTCGCACATTCGGACATCCTATTCCCCAACATCGCCTCCGTAAAGGTAAGAACCTCTACTTTCATCCATTTTCTGTGAGTATCGTGGAAACCCGCAGTGGAGGCTTGTCTTACCTTCATATTCATTCGGGAGATCATGACCGATGTGATCTCCGCGCTTGAAAAGGATCCCTCCCTCACCTCTGAATCCATTATTTGCAGGGAGAAATGGAAATACAATACCCCTCTAACCATTGGCAGGGTATTGCTCCCCACAAGGATCACTGGCAATCCGAGGATCAGAGTCAAGGGCACCCGGAACGAACAAGAAAACGCCCAAAAAAGGCAGCGTAACAACCCACCCATAGTCGTCTCTCCCTGACAACGGGTACTTCCCTACGAACCCAGGGACAAGGCGAACGTGGCGCAGCAGATGATCCCCCCCAGGGATCCCCCGCACCATGCGGATGCCGCAGACAGACCGGGATCACAGGATCGAATGGGAGGCAATCATCCACCAGAGGAGCAATTCGGTGGCAGAGGGCTGCACAACATGGCGGTGGAAGGGCAAAGAGCTAGAGGCAGGGGTAGCTCTCGACTGCTTTCCTCACAAACGGGGTCTGCGATCTCCACGGCGGAATCCACAAGGAATGGCGGATTGCGGAAGAACGGGTCTTCCAGCGGAGGTAAGAAGGGAAGGAGAGGTTGTATCGGCACTCCTTGACGTACACGCACGATAATGGCAGAAAATCTGTGTCGCGCACCTGAGTGATTGTCCCTCCGATGGATCACTCATTCGTCACTACTCACGGGAAGCATTGGGTTTTTTTCCCTGACTTTTTTTCTTTACTTTCTTTTTCCTTTCCTTTTTTTCCCCTTTTTCCCCCTTTTTTTTCTTTTGAAACTCTTTGTTTTTTCTGTGTTTTTTTTTTGTTTTTACTTTTATTCATTTACATAGTATATATATATATATATATATATATATATATATATATATATCTGTAATGCATGTCAGAGGTTGATCCTCCAGCCTTTCGCCCCTCGCCATATATGCTAGGAACGGTCCCCTCTAACGACGAACCCCCCGTCAATGAGTTTTCGTGCACTATGCAGGATGAGAACTTCGACCCAGAAGGAGGTGGCAGCATGATCGTTCTTCCTTTGGGAAGGTCCGCATGGAGAAGGAGGGAGCGGGAGCAGGACCAATTTGTGCACATCAGATACACGAGCAGGCTTATGGAAGCGGTTCCTCTGAGAAGCATGGTCCTGCAGGCACTCAGGCAGGTGATGGGGGAGAGATCGGCGAATTGGCTAGAGGATGTGGTCATCGGGTGGCGATATGACGAAGCCTTAGGTGCCAAGGTTTGCAAGCCGGCGAGGGTGTTCAGGAAATTCAGGATGAATGAGTGGGAGGCAGGGTATGTACCAGAGTTCTGCCAGTGCGGCACAGGGAGGCACGCCGAGTCCCTCAACACTGCCACCATCAAGATGCTCCCGGAGGAAGGTACCTTGCACGTCATCACTAATGACACTGGCGTAACGAACAACGGCCAGCTGCAGCTCATGCTCAATGCGGGTCTGAATCACATCCCACTCAGAGCACTCGATGAAGAGTTTACGCTGGACGAGGTCGAGGTAGCACTTGATAAGATACTTACCACGCAAAGATGTGACGAGGAGCTGTCCTTAAAAAAGACGATCGTACGAGAGAACGCGAAGAAGTGCATTAGGAGCTTTCAGACGAAACATATGCATATTACAGGCGAACCTATTAACAGCGTGGCAGTAAGGAGCAAGATCGAATGGCTGACCAGTCGATATCTGGTATGTCCAACGGACAAGGCGCCACACACCCCCACTTTCGTCTGCATCAACTTCATCAGAAGGTTGGCATTGCAGAGGCTCTTAGGGCCGGACTTCACACCGCTTCCAGATTTGTCGGAGCAAGAGGCGGCAAGGTTAGTGCGGGAGGCTTCTGCCTTCACTCATATTGGGCACGAGGCGCTGCCACTCCTGCACCTCATGACGGTGTACAAGGCGCACAAGCAATCCTTCAGGTGGATCACGAACTCTGCAGGTTCGGTGCTCTCCCCGGTGGCAGACATTTGCGAAAGATTACTGGAGCTCCTAGCTGAGGATGTTCAGGCCCTCTGCATAAGCAGGAGCGAAGAGGTTCATGCCGAGCACGGGGTCAAACCCAACTTCTGGTGGCCGATCTCCTCGATCGGAGAGTTCGTTGCCAACATCCCGCAGCGCATTTACTCCATCTTCACGGGGGATATCACTAGGTGTTTCGAGACGATACCCACGGACAGATCGGAGGACGGCCTGCTGGAGGCGATCAGATTCTTCGTTCGCTGCGCCATGGAATGGAGGAGGGCAAGGACAACCAGGGATGTGATCGTGATCAGAGTCGCAACCAACGACACACTACACCCCTGCTGGGTGAATGGGGATCAGGACAGGGACAGGGATAGGTTGTACTTCGACGAGCAGGGAATCATCGACGTCTGTGAATGACTCATCTCCAACGGGGTGGTACAAATGGGGAACAGGGTCTGGAAACAGATCCTCGGAATTCCCATGGGTCTGGCTTGTTCTCCTATCTGTTGTGATGTGTACTTCTTTAAGTATGAGTACGGACTAATCTCTCACTTGGTCGAAATGCAGGATTGGATGACGGTTGAGTGTTTCCAAGACACCTATAGATATATAGACGATCTGTGTTCTCTAAACAACATGATCATTACTGAGTTCCTCAAGAACGGTGTGCACAGCCAGAACCCACGTCACAAGATCTACCCGCACGATTTCATCGAGGTAAAGGAAACAACTGAGGTCGTAATCGATGGACATGGGAGGGCTGCAAATTTTCTCAACCTCTCATTAACAGTCATGTCCTCCATAAACGGCACGTACTTTACCTCGAAGCACGATAAGAAAAGGGGACTCCCATTCTCCCCCGTGAAATTCATGAAGTTCAGATCGAACCGTTCCATCTCGCAGTCTCTGCAGATCCTAACGGCTTTGACTGTCTTGACTCTCATCATCTGTTCCGATGAGCAGGAAGCCGCCCTGGAAATCAATAACTTAGTCCAAACCATGGTCTCAAACGGATTTGGCAAGAGGGAATGTTGGAAGGTGGTGGACAAGGTTTTTCACAACAGGCAGAAGTACCAGCCTGGCAGGGTGATTGACGAAATGGTAAAAGCCAACCTAATCACCAGATTTGGCATGTACTAATCTGTGTTATGTGGTGTTTGTGAGTGTGTGTGGGAACCGGGGGGCTACGGGCTGGAAGGGCTCGGTGCCTCCCGGCATCCAACCTTCCGGCCTGAATCGCGTTTTCCGGTGGGATAGGGCGGGGCACACACACACACACACACACACACATACATAACAAGGGGACGAGGAGCGAGGATGGTTGGAAGAAGAGAGGAATCACCAAGCACAGGAGACAACTGGTAAAGGCATTAAAGGCCGGACAGAGCGATTACTAAATAAATAAATAAATAATAAATAAATAAATAAATAAATAATAATAATCATGGAAGATAAACCTTGATGGAAGATTGTGCGGAATAACGACGACCGAGAAACCCAAGCGAGTACTGTAGGGCGACACGCCCCAGTTGTCATACAAGCTCATTCAGAGCTTATTACGCTACGAGAGATGTGCGAAGGGCGGCGGTTATGGGCCAGGAGAATGCTCACAGCTTGCAATGAACCCGAGTCTGATTATGCGCACAACACGTGCGCACAATGATATGAATAACGAGGCATCCACATTCTCTAGTAATGACGTTTCGCTCAACTGGGTAGGACAATCAGAAGGCGTGTGATACGGATCGTATCCTCCCAATCGGGGGAGGTTGTTTCAATTTTTTTCTGCTATTGTTTTTGTTTTTGTTTTTTGTTTTTATTTGTGTTGTTTGATTTGTGTTCTATTTTTTGCTCAAGTCTCCCGCCTCACGTCAGCAACGGCGTTTGTATTGCCCACGGGCAATATCTCTCGGAAAGCGACAATGACGGGGCACTATTTTCTTCTTTTCTTCTTTTTTTCTTGTCTTTTACTATTTTTTTCGTACACAGATCACCAGTAGTGATGTTTCGCTCAACTGGGTAGGACAATTAGAAGGCGTGTGATACGGATCGTATCCTCCCAATCAGGGAAGTTGTTTCGAATCTTTAGCAAGAAAGTGCCCGATCGAGTACTTTAGCAAGAAAGTGCCCGTCGTACACTCGATCGACGACGCACGAAAGAAGGAATTATTGGCCTTCGTACATGCACTCAAGCGCTGGCGGCATTTCTTCTTGGTCGATGGCAGTTCCGATTGGTAACGGATAACAATCCATTGGTCTTCTACAAGACCCAAGACACGGTCAATAGCACCATTGCCCGTTGGATGGCCTTCATCGACCAATTTGACTTTTTCCCTGACCACATTCCGGGCAAGCCAAATGGTTTTGCGGATGCTCTTTCACGGCGTCCGGACCATTGTACCCCAGTCGACTCAACTTTTGAGATTTACGACGACTTGCTGGACAGCTTCATCTGCGGCTACCAAGTCAACCCCGAGTTTTGCGACAAGTATGCAAATTGCTCCTCTCCTAGTCCGGCGCCATCGCACTATCGGATCCAAGAGGGGTACTTGCTCGTCCACTCGCGAGGGAAGGATCTTCTTTGTGTGCCACGAGATTTACACTTGCGCACACGGCTTCTTGGCGAGTTCCACGACGCTCCAGCCACCGGACACTTTGGAGTCAATCATGCGATTGGCCGACTCCGCAAGCGCTTTTGGTGGCTTGGTCTTCTCGACGATGTCACACGATGTTGCGAGTCATGCGTGGTTTGCCGATGTTGCAAATCCCGCAATCATCGTCTGTACAGTGAGTTGCGACCATTACCAGTCCCCTTGTGCCGAAGGGAAGTGATAGCCATGGACATTACTGGGTCGTTCCCCAAGCACAAGGCTGGTGTGGATGGGATTCTCACAGTGGTCGACCGACTCACCAAGTTTGCCATGTTTTTGCCTTGCCGCTATCATGCCAAGGCACCGGAGTTGGTCGAGGTTCTTTACGCCGGTTGGATTCGAACCAAGGGTTACCCCAAGGAAATCGTCTGCGACCGCGACACTCGGTTCATGTCCGATTTTTGGTTGGCACTCATCAAACGATGGGGCTCATCTCTCAAGCCAAGTTCGGCTCACCACCCCCAAACCGATGGCCAAAAGGAGAGGGCGCATCAGACCGCACAGGTTCTCCTCCGCACTCTCATCCGTCCCGACCAAAAGGATTGGGTTGAGCGGCTGCCGGATGTCGAGTTAACATACAACTCGTCCATCCAACCAACTATCGGGATGTCGCCCTTCGAGTTCGAGCACGACTCGCCGGTCACTTCTCCGTTGGACACAATCATTCCACGAACGGCCGAGAGCGACGACCATCTTTTTTTCTTGCGACGGATGCAAGAGCTACTTGTCAAGGCACACGACCAGATGGCCAAGACACAGGAACGCATGAGCCAACAGGCCAATCGTCAGCGTCTTCCTTGCCCATTCTGCGTCGGCGATCTCCTTTGGGTTTCCGCCGCGGAATTCAGCCTTGAACAAGATCTCTCTCGCAAGCTCCTCCCGAAATGGATGGGGCCTTGGCCGATCGTGGCACCCGCCGGGGATGCACCCGAAGGACCTTCCTTCACCATTCAGGTGCCCGCCCACTTGCCCGTCTACCCGGTCTTTCATTGCTCCAAGTTGGCTCTCTACACGCCAGCGGAACATGACGATTTTCTCGACGACGATCGCAAGACCCACCCTCTATGGACGGTTTTCAAGAGGTCGACAACATCATCTCCTAGCGACGCTACGGCAACAGGCCAACCAGGTACTTGGTACACTTTGCGTACTGCAGTCACCGAGCTGACCGTTGGTTAACTCGTGCTCCAAGCAACGACTCCGGAAGTTCTCGCACGCTACGAAAGCAAGATGGAAGGCAAGCCAGTATCTTCGGCTCCACGTCGCACCCGCATCCACTTTCCACCTTCAGATCGTCAGCTTCGCCCTCGCCCCGGCTTGACTTCATAAGGAGGGGGGGGTGTTACATGTTGCGCCTGCAACAGGCTGCACGGGCCACTTTCAAGCCCGTGACATTTTCAGGCCAAAAGCCTGAAAACAAGGGCCTATAGGCTCCGTGTCCTTTCAGCGTGAAAGCCTGAAAACCAAGGCCTACAGGCCGTGTGTCGTTTCAGCCTAAATCAGGGCCTTTCCGGCCCTGAGTCTTTTCAGCCTGAAACTGAGGGCCATTTTCAGGCCCTCACGAGTTCGGCCTGCCCCGAAACTCAGGCACCAAACCAGGGTTTTAGCTCAGGCCATTTTTGGCCTATTTTCAAGACAACCTTCGTTTGAGCTTCAACCCCAGGGTCTGGCACGTTTTGGCATTGCAAGAGCAGCCTCCTGGACGGGCCAGCACTATAAAGGACTGGCCCGCCCTGCAGGCCGCAGGTAGTTATTAGGTACTTCCCAGGCACTTCACGTGCAGTTCAGGAGGCAGGAGGTAGTCTTCAGGATTCGGCAGCAGCACTCTGGACAGGATTCGGCAGCAGCACTCTGGACAGGATTCGGCAGCAGCACTCTGGACAGGATTCGGCAGCAGCACTCTGGAGGAGCGCTGCAGTAGTAGTTGTAGCACTAGCAGTAGTCTTCAGTGCTGGGCGCTAGTAGCATTAGCGCTGGGCGCTAGTAGCATTAGCAGTAGTCTTCAGCGCTGGGCGCTAGTAGCATTAGCAGTAGTCTTCAGCGCTGGGCGCCATAGGAGCTAGAGCAGTACCAGAGAGAGAGAGAGAGATTGGGCGGAGGCCAGGGAGACTTGCCTGCAGCGCCGTTGCTCCAGCTTTGTCTTTGAGGTACCTGCAGCACAGCGCCATCATAGATAAACCTTGATGGAAGATTGTGCGGAATAACGA